AAAATAGAAAGAAGAAAAAATAGAAAGAAGAGAAAATAGAAAGTACAAAAAATAGAAAGAAAGAAATAGAAAGAAAGAAATAGAAAGAAAAAACTTTCTAAATCAATCCTTCCACAATCCTAGGATTATATACAATTCTATTTTCAGATCTGAACCAATAACCCCACGTTTTGCAACAGCCACCTTGTCTTAAATCTCTGGAAAGAAGTTCTTTACCACTCCATTGACTAACACTGAGTAGTGACAAGATGCCAAGGCAACCACTTACCTAATTACACCATCTGTCTCCAAACCTACACCTTCTTAAAACCTCTAGAAGGAAACTCCAATCCACTAAATCATAAGCCTTTTCCAGGTCCAATTTGCAAACAAAATTTTGATTTCCTCATCTCCTCATCTCCTCATCTCCTCCACACACTTGTTTGCAATGAGGATCTGATCTATAATTTGTTTGCCTTGTAGAAAGGCTCTTTGAACTCGACTAATGAGAGGAGGAACTGCTTTGATCCTCAAGGATGACACGTTTGCTAAGATCATGTAGATGCTAGTCACCAAGCTAATCGGCTTGAAATCTTTGGGATGTTTAGCATCAATATTTTGGGAACAAGGGCTAAAAAAGTGGCATTAACTCCAGAACTAATGCCATGTTTATCCTCAAATTCTCTAAAAACTTATTTTAATTCTTCTTTAATTACATTTTAACAATCTTGGTAAAAAGCCATAGTGAAACCATCTGGACCTGGTGCCATAGTGAAAATATTTGTTGTATTCAAACTTGCCCAATCCAAATCTTCCAATTTCACTCGACACTCTAGTGGTCTTTGCAAAATTGATTTAAAATCGGCAACAAAGCAACTATCTATCTCCTCATGAGAATTTATTTAAACTCCATCAACCTCAAGTTTAGCTATCAAAATTTTCTTCCTCCCATTGCCCACAACTTGAAAATATTTAGTGTTTCCATCCCCTTGATCCACTTGTGCCTAGACTTTTGTCTCCAAGAAATTTGCTCCTGCAAAAGGGCCTCTTCTAATTCCTTCGTTAGTTTCCATTTCAATTCTCTTTTCTGTACACTCATGATCCATTGGATCTCAATCTTTTTAATTTTTTTGTGCAATTTGACTCCTTTCCATTTCACCCCCTCATTTCTTCACTCCATTCCTTAACCTTATGCACAAAATCCGGATGTGTTAACCACATATTCTCAAACCTGAAAGGTTTTGATCCATTTCCAAAAGGGTCTTGCCCTAGTTCTAATGGGCAATGGTTAGAAGTTACTCTAGGCAAAGCCTTAGCCACCAAACCCCTCTAGTGACTCTCCCGGCCTTCAAACAAGTTGGGTTTTCTTGGAATCTAGACCAAGTAGAGTTGGTTTGTAGTAGGGAAGCTCCCTTAGTTCACAACCGTTAATGAAGTCATTGGACTTCCTCATACTAGTCATGATGGACTGTTGAGGATTAGTCATCTTAGTTATCAAATGTCTGACATTAAAATTTCCCCCCAAACACCAGGCCCCAGGGACCTTCCCCTAAGCCTTGAATCCCACAACTCATTCCTCTCTCTATAATTATTTGGCCCATACACATTAGTTAACAACTAGGTAAAACCGTTTTCCAGCATTCTAAACTTTAGGGGCACAGAAATGTTGCTTAATAATTCCTCCAGTGGTTCTACAACATCCTCTCTCCAAAAAGTAACTAATCCCCCCGAATCTCCCCAGGAGAGAGCTGAGCACAACTCACTTCTCTTGCTTCCCACACATCTGTAGCCCATCATCTATCTAATTCTGCTAGTTTAGTCTCTTGTAGCATCACAAGATTTGTTTTTTCTCTTCTAAGTAGTTCCTTGATCAATCAAAATAACAGGCCCACCAGCAATTGAGTTGGCAGGTATGTGCCTTTTTAAAACTACACCCTCCCCGGTCTGACTCAAAGGGTCAGCCCCCCAGGCATTGGTTCAACCGTCCTAACCAATGAATTCCTTCCCTTTGAATTTTGAAGTGTTTAACCTGTTCGAACAGCTCTCTTTGGCACCAGAAACTAGTACATGAGCAAAATATCTGTTAACTGCCAGAACCTAGTACATGAGCAAAAGTTGAACTTTGACGGAAGCTCCTTGGGCCACCCAGGTATGGTAAGAATAGGATGGGGCAATCAGAAATTCGGAGGCTAAGATATTGGTTCTTTATTCAGGGCCAATTGGTGTGGCTGATTCTGTGAAGGCTGAGTTGCTGGCTTTACTACATGGTCTCCTGCTGGCAAAGCAACTGGGGTCCAGACAGTTGGAGGTGGAAGGGTACTCACAAGTAGTTATCTCATGAGCGAGGTGTAATGGACATTTTCCTTGGACTCTCGAAAATGTATACAGGGAAGTTGAAAGGATTGCAAGAGAGTTAGATGCTGAATTCAAGTGGGTAAGGAGTACAAATGGGCTAGCTCACTCCCTTTCTAACATTTTCCATGTTGATGCAGTAGATCCTTTTTCTCCAATGTGCAAATCCAAATAAGTAAAAGGAAACTCTCCAATTTGACAGTCCAAGGCAGCACATTTTCTTGCTTTATATAGAATTTTAAGAATAAGAAAGGTGGTTTAGATGTTTTGAGGCAGGGTTTGCTTGGGGGAGGGTATAGCAAATTGTTGGCATTGTAAGAGGAAGGAGGTGGTGAATTATTTTTGTGTATAATTGCAAAACTTAGAAATTCTTTTTTTTTCCATTTTTTTTTGGGAGGGGTGGGGGTTATGCTGTTATGTGGGAATGGAGGGTTTCATTTTTTTGCTTCCTTATTCCTTGGTTATCTTGTCACAAGTTTCCCGTATATCCTTTCTCCCTTTTTTATTTTAATGAGTTTTCTTTTTATTATCAAGGGAATAATGACTGATAAGATTGTTCTGGACACACAAAAGAATTGGGGGGGGGGTTGGCCCACTTGCTAATACTTAATAATAAAATGAGTTAAAGGATATTTTTTTATGCCCTTAAATGCATTAATATTGTATTCAATATAGATGTCGTTTGATTGGTGATATTCAATATTCAAAATAAATACTGTCATTACCTAACCAGCTATTTGGGAAAATCCTGTCAGTCTTTAATGCCAGGATCACTACAGGCAGTCAATGTTATTCCTATTGAGGGAAGCCCTAAAGCAGAGGAAGAAGCCCATTTTCCTTCTTCACCAGGACTGAGGAGGAGATTTGTGTAAGTGAACCTGCAGCTGTTCACATTCACATGCTTGATGTTATGACATGAATATGTTTCCTTTTTCTTATGTTATTTTCTGCATTGAATTTCTAATTTAAATATAGGCCTCCTACAAAAGTTGAAGATAGAACTATGACTGCCAAAACTGATTCATCTGCGCCTATCAAGTTGGATGCCTCAACACAGGCACACATCGAAAAGCACAGGTATCTATTCACTTTTAATAAACAATGTCAATTATTTGGTTTTATTTCAAATTATATTTTCTTAGAGAGTGGAATCATTATATAATTGCTTTTTGTACAAATTTAGCATCTCTAATCTTTAGTTCTCTAATAACAGAAAGCTCCAAGAAGATTTGACAGATGAAATGGTTGGGTTAGCACAGCAGCTAAAGGAGAGTAGCCTTATGATGAACCGTTCCTTGCAAGACACAGAAAAGGTATTATCTCATACTTTAACATGAAACTGTTGATTAAAAGGCAGTCTATTAGGAATTTTGATACAATATTAAAATGAAACTGAAGTATATATTTCACCATTTTTTTTTTTGGGGAAGGAAAATGCTACTTTTGACTATGATCACACAAGTGGCATTTGGAAACCTGAAGTTTGATGTCACTGAAGTCTAAGTAGATCTGATTGGGATAAGAGCTCATTTTCTGAACAGTATCTGTCAAGTATGATTAAATCAGATCTGTGATCTACAAATTTCCTCATAAATTGCCTTCTTAGTTTAGACCACGGTGCTTATAAATAATTGACTTTGAACCAACTAGAAAGTTGGTCTGTGATCTGCAAATCTCTGTCAGATTAAACCTCAATGTTGGAAAATGTTACTTATAACAAAGGTGAAAAAAAGAAGAGGGGCATCCCTGAAATGCTGCTGTAACAAGAGCCATGATGTAATAATATTCACTCTTCTTCAAAGTACCACACCTTCTTGGGATCTTGTTATCAAAATGACACATATTCTGACAGCTCAGAAAAGGACTTCTTGATTTTCTGGAAAGCACCACTGCACTCTAAAAATGCCCAGAAAATGGTACCAAGGTACTGAAGAGATACTTCCATGGAGGAACAGATTTTGTCTGTGGCTGAGAACATAGAGGGCAGTCCATATTGTTTAGGCCTATCCCTCACCTGATTAGTTGACAAACAGTTTGGCATTTACCCAATGTACCAGGCATACTTTTCAAGGCACCAAGGTGAGGCTGGGTGACAGGGGGGCGCCTTGTCGCCTAGGTGCCTAGGCGGGCGCCTAGGTGATGGACTTTTTTATATAGAAAATATAGATCCTAGGGTAGTTCCCTAGGTGCCATAGCCATATTTCCTTAATAATTATTCATAATTTTCATTCATGTTAAAAGTATAGAAAATCAACATATTCATGAAAAGAAAAAAAAGAAGGAAAAGAAAATTCAAAAAATATAGGGTCTGAACCCTTATTTTTGTTTAGTAGTAGTAGTAGTGTTAGTGTTGATTAGACAAAATTTTAAGTTCTTCCTTATTGGTTCAGGTTTTAAAGTCTTTGAGGGTTAGCAATGTTTGTATTGATTAAATCCTAACAAATAAGAAAATAATAATTAGTATATAAACACACAAAATGAGTATTTTAGTTTAATAGTGCCTATTTTATAGTTATAATGTCAAAAAATAAAGAATAAAAAAGCATTTTACAAAACATAGTACAAAATTGCTAGGCGATTAGGCGAGGCGAGCCTCAAAGGGCGCTTAGGTGTCACCTTGACGACTATCGTGCCAGGCTTTACATGAATACCACTTTAGATGGCACGTTAGGGACATCAAACTTTGTTACATTACATGGACAGGAAGCTAGGTTTGTAGAACTTGATCTCCTAAAGAATGACTGGACTATGTGGTTTCTGATCTGTCCCATACCCAGATTCTGCACTGGGGTGAGGGCAGTTCTTGCATTATTAGCAAAATTTCAGCCATGAAATCAATGTCATAGTCATTAAGGTCATAGTTGTCAACGCACCAAGGCAAAACTAAGCATCAAGGCATGTACCCACCTAGGCGTCACCTGGGTGATGGATTTTATAAATAAAAAACCTAAACCTTTGGTTCATTCTCTAGGTTTCATAGAACCAGAAATCATCAAAAGATAGAAAATAAGAAAAGAACAGAAAACTTGAAAATATAGGCAGTGAGCCAAGAAAAGAAGAGAAGGGGTGGAAGATAAAACTTTGGGTGGGAGAGGCTCCATTGAAGGACCTTTTCCCTTCTTTGTTCACTGTTTCAAGGTACAAAAAGCATTTTGTGTCAAAAGTTTTTTTCCATTGTGAATGACCCATTAACACCAAATTGGGACTTTGGGTTTCGTAGAGGTTTAAGGGAAGAGGAAATTGTGTTTCTCACAAATCTGCTAAGTCTACTTGATATAGTATGTTTGGACCCTTCTAAACCTGATATTCGGATTTGGACACCCCAGCAGAATGGATCCTTTTCATGCGTTTCTTTCTTTAAATCCATTACTCAGTCTACCCCCAATCAACCTTTCCCTTTTAAGGAAATTTGGTGCAGGCCTGTTCCCCCTAAGGTTATGGCTTTTTGTTGGGAAGTGTATTATAGGAAAATAAACACCTTGGACACTCTACAAAAGAGAAGACCTTTTCTCTGTCTCTCACCTTCCTGGTGTATACTTTGCAGGTCACATGGTGAGGACTGTAACCATATACTAATATCTTGTTCATTTACTGCAGAGTTATGGGAGTGGTTCTTCTCATTGTTTGGGTGCAGGTTGGTTAGGCCAGTAGATGCAAGCTTGATTTTAGATCCTGCTTTCCTCCCTTGGCAGCACAGAAGAGGAAGAATTATGTGGAGGTGTGCAAGAGCAGCACTGATTTGGTCCGTGTGGGAAGAAGGAATGCCAGAATTTTCCAAGAGAAGGAGAGAAACCCAAAAGAGGCATTCTAAATAGGGTGATCTTATTGCTAAAATCACTGGACCTATTCCATCATTTCTCAATGATGTGTGGAGGAATTGGTTAGCAGTGGCTAATTGCTCATCCATAAAAACTAAAGTGAGCAGGGCTTGGGAACCCCCTCCTGAAAGATTCTTGAAGCTGAATTTCGACGGGAGTAGTCTTGGTAATCCTGGTCCGTCAGGGGTGGGAGGGATGCTGAGGAATGAGAGTGGGAATGTGGTTCTTATTTTCTCAGGACCCATAGGAGTTGGAAACTCTACTAGGGCAGAACTTGCTGCCGCTATCCAGGGAGTACAGTTAGCAGTGCAGATAGGTGCCGAACAATTGATAATAGAAGGGGACTCGAAGGTGGTAGTGGGATGGCTACAAAATCCGGAATCTGTAGTGTGGTGTTTTAAGAATGAAATTAAAAAGTTCAACTGCCTAACAAGAAGCTTGACAGTGAGAATACAATGGGTGAGGAGGTCAGCAAACTCTATGGCTGATCATCTTGCAAAGCAAGGGGTAAATAGGGAAAGTTTGTATTGGGCTCAATTGTAGTCTGAATCTGTTTTCTATCTTTTGCCTTTCTTCCTACTGGTAGGAGAGGACGCAGCTTGAGCCTCTCCAAGGGAAGCTTGTAACTGCACTAGTTTTATTAATGAAATTAATCCTTTTTAATTATAAAAAAAAGATAAAACTTTGTAGTTATTTGTTGCTTATCTGTTCAGGTTTTGAATTCTCCAAGGATTCAACACAGTTTCCACTGATTTATTTGTTGATCAAACCCTAACAATTAAGAAAATGATAAAAAGAGTCTAGTACAAAGGTTATGCAAATATTTTAAACACATAACATGAATAATACTGTGTAAGGCCGTCTTTTGTAATATTATGATATCTTTTGTCCAAAATGGTGTTGTATGGTTTCCAATAAAAGTCTGATGCACACCTACCCAAGAAAGAATTCTGGCCTTCGGTTTCACCAACAGTCCCTCTTTTCTATCTTTTCTTTTTTTTGAGAAAAAAGTGACTGATAATTTTAGAAAATGAAAAGTACATGAGATGATTTACAAGCAGCAGAGAGAACCAACACTTGGAAGTTACAAAGGCAGATTCCTATCACTATTCGGAAATCCTTAAATTCCTTTCCTTCCATAATGTCCAAAGCACTGCAGAAAAAGTAGTCCTCCACACGATCCTTCCTTCCTTAACCTCTTAGATACCAGCTTTTGACAAGGCCTTCCACTTATTTTGGGTTACATCCAACTACCCCAAAATAGCTTTCACCCACTGATGCAAGATCTTTCTGAGTCGGCACTGTTCTTGCAACTAAACTCAGGTTGTAGATGCATTGATAAGAAGCAAATATCAAAAAAGAAGAAAGAAGAGAAGAGAAGATGTAAGTTGAGATCCATAGGTAGTCACATCTAAAGATGAGGGAAATCACACCCTAAACTTGGCATCTATAGGCTTTCCTTGCACATCTTTTTTCGAAGACGAACAAGCTTTCCTTGTTCATCAACCAAAACTGTTATCCAAAGGAGCTTTACAAGCTTAATAAGAAAAAAAATTTGCCCACAAGTTCTCTTTCTCCACAAGCCTCTTAAAGACGTTAAATTGGACTAAACCTGCCCCCAAACAACTACAAACATAAAGCCAAACAAAGGATATTAAGCTGAGACCTACCCCCAAACATAACTCTCTTTTGATATGCCTTAAGTTGATATTCCTATCATTTCTCCCCAACTTGGAAAAACTTGGATCCATCGAGTAAAAGGAAAGGTATATCTCACACATATCATAGTTTAGGTGTAGGGACTATTCCATGGTTTTCCAAGTGCAGTTAGAGTGAGGGCAGCCTTTCCACTTGACAAGAAACTTGCGATATCCCCCATTTCGTGTTGAAATGATCTGCCCCCAAACATAACTCTCTTTTGATATGCCTTAAGTTGATTCCTATCATTTCTCCCCAACTTGGAAAAACTTGGATCCATTGAGTAAAAGGAAAGGTATCTCTCACTATAGTTGTCAAGGCAATGCCTAGGCGACAAGGCATCCTTTGAGGCTCACTTCGCCTAATTGCCAAGCAGTTTTGTACTATGTATTGTAAAATACTTTTTTATTCTTTATTTTTTGACATTATAATTATAAAATAGGCACTATTAAATTAAAATATTCATTTTGTGTTTTTATATACTAATTTCTTTTTATTATTTTATTATTTGTTAGGGTTTAATCAATACAAACATTGCTAAAGACTTTAAAACCTGAACCAATAAGTAAGGAAGAACTTAAAATTTTGTCTAATCAACACATTTTTCTTTTCTTCTTTTCCTATAACAAAAACAAGGGTTCGCCCCTCTATTTTTTGAATTTGCTTTTCCTTCTCCTTTTTCTTCTCATGAATATGTTGATTTTCTATACTTTAACATGAACTCTATATTTTTTTATGAAAATTGTGAATAATTATTAAGGAAATATGGCTATGGTACCTAGGGAACTACCTTAGGA